GCCAGGAGAGGGGGGCTGGCAGGTGACGTGGTGGTTAAGGGCACTGGACCCTCACATGGCCGACTGCAGTTTGAGTCCTGGACCTGGTGGCTTGCTTTCTCTCTCTCTGTCCCTCTCTAGTCAAATTTAAATAAATCAATAAAGTTAAATAAAATAATTCTTTAAAAATTTTTTTCTTAAAGAAAGTTTTGCCAGGAGAAAAAAGTGAGATATGTCTTCAGGCACAGAACATGGCATCAAGGGAAAGCGTGTGCTGTTTTTTAAGCAAAAGATGTGTGAAACTGGGGTCTGCTGAACACTGAAGGGCGGATGGGATCTGCAGGAGGTTAAGGGAGATCCCTGAGAATTGAGAAGAGGAACTTGGGCACGAATGCAAAGTCTGGCTTTTAAGGGAAAAACTTCATACAATAAAATTGACTATTTTTGTTTTATACAGTTGCTTAAATTTTAACACATACGTAGATTCATGGAACGACTGCCACAGTCCTGATTCAGACAGCTCCATCACCCCCAAACCTGCCTTTCCCCGTCCCTTTATGATCTACTCTACCTCTTTGTGGCTCCTGGCGGTCGCTGACTTACTCTCCATCAGCGTAGTTCTACTGTTTTCCGAAGTGTCATTTCAGACGGCTGGTTTCATTTGGCTTGTCTCTACTGCCACTGCGACATTGCGATGCCAGGTTGTGCCGTATCAATACTCCATCCCTTTCTGGTGCAGAGTAAACTTCTCTGGGGTCTGTTGGTGACGATGTCCCCCAGGTCGATAAGTGGTACCACTGTTGGATCAGTTACTTGAACCAAAGACCTTGGGATCATCCTTCACTGTCTTCTCTCACCCATACAACCAATCCATCTGCAAATCCTGGTGCCTCCACTTGCAAAATCTGTCTGGAATCTGACCACTTTTTACCACATTCACTACCTCTATCTAGTTTGGGCCATCCACCATCATCTATGAGGGTTAGTGCCTCCACTTTTGCCGCTGGGCCCCCATAATCTATTCTTCATACAACTGGAATGATCTTTGTAAAGACTTAAATCTTATCAAGTCTCTCTTCCGCTCCACAGTCTGGTGGTTTCAGCGGTGGTTGGCGAAGCTGTGTTGCCATGGCCACGTGAGGACCTGCATGATTGGCCCCTGCCTACCTCTCCGGTCTCATCTACCACTCCCCCTTCACTCTCTCTGCCTCAGCCACGGCGGTCTCCTTGGTACACCTGCTGTAAGCCAAGCACGCTTCGGCAGAGCATCTGAATCTGTTATCTCCTCTGCCTGGAACGCCCGCCCTCTAGACGGCCACGTGCCTCACATCTGTGCTCCTTATCGGTGAGTCCTCCTGCCGACATCTAACATGGCAGCTACCTGACACCACGTCTAGCCCTGCTTCTGCTTCGTTCTTCCTAGCACATACCCGACACTACATGTCTGTGTTCCGCATTCCAAACTCGAGGGCAGGGGATTTGTTTTGTCCACCTCTCAATAAACACCTAGACGGCCACCTGGCCTTCACATAATGGGAGATCAATGAATATTTTTGATTGGGTAAATGATATGGAAGGGAGGACAGGATGGAACACATGTAAGATTTCCAAAGGTCAGGTCTGTGGCACAGTGGTATGTGCTGCTCGAGAGAAGCCAGATCCCACAGGGTGACCCAGCCTAAAGCACACTGGGAACGAGTGCTAGGGCCCGAGACCAAATGGAAGGGGGTGGCGGCATGACCAGGCCCATGGAGGGTGCCCATCTCGTTCTTCCCATGGGTGTGCACACACATTCTCGTGAATAAAGAAAACAACTTTTTTTTTTTTTTAAAGCAGATTTGTAGGAGCCAGCAGATGGCTTGGTGGTTGAGGTCTGGATCTCACATGGCTGACTATAGTCTGAGTCCTGGACTCAGCAGCTTGAGAATCATGCCAGGTGTGTGTGCACACATGCCCAAAAATCCCAAGAAGAGAATGGAAGAGAAGGGACTGTGGCATGGCCATCTCCCCCGGGGGAAAATTTCTCACTTTGCCTCTCTCTGGTGAGTGTATGCACCCTATGTGCCCCCCCCCAAAAAAAAAAGTACACTTCTAGATTTCAGGACATTCTATACTTTCTGCACTTATTTATTAAGGCAAGGCTAGAAAAATAAAGTGAAATTTCCAGGCACAGTTCAGAGTCCATTTAGGTTGATAGTTACTAAAGAAGGAATGCCAGTTGGCTTAGCAGGGCAGTTTTCTACAAGCATGGAAAAGCATGAGTGCATCTCGGCTGGGGAGGTGTGGCTGAGGAAAGGGAGTGTCGTGGCAGGATTAGAGTAAGGGCAGGGCTGGCTGTAATACTCCTGAATGGAAGATAGATAAGGGCGGAAGTGAAGAGTGGAAGGGGTTAATGGGTAGGAGACAGATTAGAGGCTTTCAACAGATTGGAGGTTCTGATAAAGTGAAGGAAAAAAGTACTAAAATTCTCAGTCAAGCTTAAGACAGCAGTCTGTGGTTGAACAGGGGAATGTTGGAATTACTGATTCGTGACACCATTTCTGGTGACAAGTTTTGACTGGGACTGGGAGGATGATGTATAATAATTAAAGTTGCTAAAGAGGGGCCAGCAGGTGGTGTGGTGATTGAGGTGCTGGACTCCCACATGGCTGACAATGGTTTGAGCCCCAAACTTGGTGGTTCGTTTTCTGTCCCTCGCACGCGTGCCCTATAGCATATTTTAAAAAATAATAATGATAAATAAAACACATTTTTTTAAAAAAATAAATAAAGTCGCTAGAGATGAGGCCCGATGTGGCATGGGTTGTCCACGTCGACTGAAATGACCAGGAAATGGTCAGAAGTGGTTAGGACAAGGAGCTGGGTGCACGGGTCGAAGATGACGTCCACAGAGGTGGTTAGTAGATTGCAAAGTCAGAGGGGGCGTCCCGCGGCAAAGCCTTTACGAGAAGTGCCAGTACTCGGCTCCAGAGTTGGAAATTGCGAAGTGAAGATACTAATGCAGTCGATGAGAAGGGCTTCCAGAGGATGGCATCCTCAGGGCACAGCCAGTCTCCGTCCTAGTGAATCCGAGAAGCTGAGTACGAAGCGGGAATCCATGAGGACGGGTTTGAACGCGGCAGAGGGCGGGGCCGAAGCAGCGCAAGTCCCTAATGCCGCCAGTGGCTCTTTACCTTCCTCCCAACCTACCGCCCGCGTCGCACCGAGCTCGTTTCAACTCCCCGCGGCAGCGCCCGCACCGGAACTCCTCCGTATTCGCGCCTTCCCATTGGCTGAAGCTTTCGCCCGCTTCCGCCCACAACTCGGCGGGGCGGGGCGGCGCCTGAGAGTCACTTCCGCCTCGCCCCTCCCATCCTTCC